CAACTTTGGTATATCTTATTATTCATATGAATGAATGTTACTTAATACAAAAATTGATACAGAAAGAAGCCTATCAATCCATCAACAAAGAAGCTTGGATCTTACTTAGTTCAATCCCACTTCAAGGTCAACGTTTCTTTTGTCTTCAACTTATTTTGAGATTCAGTTTAATTGTTGGTGGAATTTGCTTGAAATGTTTGAATTTTGGATGTAAAGATTGCATTTCTATTTGATTTTTGCCATTTTTGTTTGGAGTTCCTTTTTATTCAAAATTGTTTTATTGATATTAAGGGAGCATCTGATTTTTTTTACATAACCACCTTCAAAACAAGTGTCGGAATGATTTGGTTTGCAACACAGGTTTATGTGGTTTTATGTTAGGAAGCTACTGCTAGAATTCAATTATACATAAAGATCGTATGTGTTGGGTTGTCCAATGAAGATGCTCATGGGTTGGAAAGTCAGAAGAGCAAAAAGGCACTGCATTCATATTCAAGAAAGAGAATAGTTATTTTTCTCATCATTGATGTTGTATTAAAGTTTCCCTTAATCAATTTGGGACTTAAAGAGTATATTGTGATTACTTTTGATGTTAAGTTTTTTTGTACCAAATCTTCTGTTTATTTAACTTTATAGATTTACAATATTGCTTCCTAAGTTCATTAAATATGATATAAACGGCTGTTGGTTTTCGATTCTATAACATTATTAAATATTATAATAAAAGATATTATACGTTTTATATAGTTTTTAATCTCAACATTCATCTCAGAGCAAGCATCTACATCAGTAACATCACATGTGTACACATTTGTATTTTTCACAATACACACGCATTTGTATTTTTTAAAATATAATATATATTGTTTGTTAGATTTTTAATAACGAACAAATAATTATAATTAATAAGGTCGCCCGGACATCCGCCTGAGCCAAGCATCTAGTTGTTCTTTGTTTATAATATGGATTCTTCCACCCCCGGCGCACATGGGAATAAAAAGATCACTTTTTTACTCCAGAAGAAGTGCAGATATGTAATCATTCATTTGAGGGACTTGCTTAACCAATTAGGTGCTCTCTTTTGCACAAATAAACCAATTTGACATTCTACTATGTTCCTTTGTCTAATCCTAGATTTTAAAGTCTGGAATATATGTTTAACCTATGGGTTTGATTGTAACAAGTTATTATTCGTTGTTTTTACTATTTGGCTTCCTGTTTGGAACTTTGTGTACGTATTTTGTTTTAATGGTTGGATTTTTTGGTGTAATAATCCATATGTAATGGCTGCATGAAGTTGTTGTTATTCTTGAAATTGGCACCTGGTTCGGGAAATTTTTTCATGAATTAAGATTGTCCAAATTGCTTTATTAACTTCAGATTGTTGTGGAAGTATACGGAACTATTTATTAAACAAGGATATTGCTATAATTTTTGAAGGCTCAAGTGAAACAAAATTTTTCTTCGAACATAAATGAAGATTGCAATTTTGGATCATGATAAGAAAAAATAACATTTGTCCTTTCCTAAAGATAGACTACATGATGCTGTGTAGAGCCATTAGAATTAGAAAATGAAGACAATGGCTAAGTTTGGTGACGAAGAACACTAACACATGTTACGTGTGGAAGCAGGTGTTGTGAAAAAGCCTAGCACTCTAAAACTTGGTGAAGAATGGAGATGAAGGTAAGAACTTTCTCATTTAAGCTTTTGTGTATTGGAACAACTTGATCTGGATTTTGATTTTTTTTTTTTGAATACAAAGGTGTGACTCTGAGATGACTAGAAGAAATTTTAGGTGAATGAGATGGCCATCAAAAAGTTAGGTGGGCAAGGGTAATGTTGATAAAGATCCACTTCGATTCGATCATGTAGATGTCAGTGTTACGAACACAACAGGGTAATTCTATGAGGGCAAGAATCAAGATAAAATGCCCCTACTGCTGGCATTGGTATTCAACGATAAGCCATCATGGTTAGTTCTTACTCTGACTTCAGGTTTTAATGTTATGATAACATTGTAAATATGTTGTTAAATTTGTTTTCTCTGGTGACGGGATTTACTGTGGAAAAAGTTTTGGTACAAACTCAGGTGAATTATCTGTGCATCCCTGGATTACATCTATATTTTTGAAAGGCCATTTTTCTATTATTCTGCATGGTTTTGATACCATTATATCTTCGATTTTGCCTTTTTAAGAACATCGACATGAAATCTGCTTGGTTTTTTTTTTTTTTTTTACCTTGATGCCTCATGATTTGAAACCTCAAGGATGATGCCTCATTATTATGCTTGGGGTAGATGACATGTAATGATACGATGGATGTATGTGCTAATGGCTTTCATTTTAAAGTGAAACCTACACTACCATGTTTTCAATTTATTTTCCTATTTTCTTTGATGTTTGCTCCGTTTATTAGATTCATCTAAATTGTGAATTGGAATGCTGCGAATACTATAAATCTCTTTAAAAGTCACAATGTAAGTGAATGAATCACAACTGAGAATAGGTAACCTTATGATCTCTGAATGATCACTAATTGTTGCTGAAGTGTCTGAAACATTTTTAACTAAAATGTGAATAGGCACTTTTATTGATCTACCCATAAATATCCCCGGATTGCAGCATTACAGGAACTACTAAGAGCAATAGGAGATCATTTGGCATCTGAGTTTTGCCAAGAAGCCAGGAGTAAAGAGAAAATCTTAATTGTATCATCAAATGCAACCCTATTGTCTATGGAGGATTAGTTAGACAACAGTAGTAGTTTAACCTTACTGTTCTATGCATTTGATTTGAGCATGTAATGCCCTCATATTATGCTACTATTTTTGTTTTTTTTGCTAAAGTGTAGTACATTTTTTCTGTTACCTATCAAAGAATGCGAAGAAACTATGCAGTGGTTGAACATTCGGCTCGTAAGATTATTTATTGCGGTCTTTTGAGAATCTTGGTTCCCAGGTAAACACGTACTTTTCCTGGATTTTTTCCTGGTTAACTTAGTTTCTGTTGTTATGTACCCTCTCCGTCCCAGAAAAATAGTCCACATCGAGTTATGGATTTTATTATATTTTTAGTATAAATTTAAAAACTCAATGTGAATTATTTTTTTAGACGAAAGTAGTGTATAATTAAGTCGTTTTCTTCAGTTCCTACCTATTACAAAACATTATCAACATTCTCTATGGTAAAACCTCAATTTAAAAAATAACAAAACTATCAACTATTTTGTTAACCTCAAAAATAAACGACAGGGGGTTTTATTTCGAAAAAAGAAAAGGTACATGAAAACACATTGGATAAAAAACTTATCAGCCATCTTGGCACTAACCTTTACAAGTCTAGCGGCCATTTTCAAGTTCCGACAACAAACACTTGGGATAAAAAAAAAAAAGAAAAGGTCATTATTCACGCTGGGAATTTTTGAACCAAAATTTTGAGCAACTACATGTGATTAAACACTTGGGCTATGTGATTTATTCATTTATTTTTGTTATGATATATTATATGTTTTAATTATTTATTAATTTATTAAGTGAGACGTCTCGCCCGGGCATCCGCCCTTGCCAAGCATCTAATATCCTATTAAAATAATAGTCCAAACTAAAAAAAAATGACGTATCACACTCTCATGTATTTTTTTTCTGCCCACTAAAAACTACGTCGTTTTATAAAAAATGAAGAAAAAAAAAAGAAGAAGAAAGAAAGTTTCATTGATCAGAATCAAATTATCACGTAGTTAATGTGGCTAATTGATATTATTCCATTTTGAAAGATAAAATACAAAATTATTCATGCCTATCATTTTGAATTGTACTATTGAATGACATCTTTGATTAAATAAAATATATTAAACACTAGGAATCATAGTATTAACGTGCATTGATCTTGATTGATACTCCATAACCAAAAAAAAAACACGCTACATTAAAATTTCATAATCAACAATTAAAAAGGACTACCCTATTATAACAAAAAAAAGACTACCCTATATTATAATTCTTCCTGTATAACTCACCATATTCTATATAATACTTCCAAATTTAAGAATATTACACTCAAATCTTAACCCTAATCTTCCGTCTCAAAACTACTATGAGTAAGTATATATACCTCACTTTAGAACATTATTCACTATGATATCAACAAAATCAATCAATATATATATCCTATTAAAAGAGAAGTCCAAGAAAAGAAAAATGTTGAGGTGTCGCGTTATGATTAAAAATTTTTTCTCCAAAACACCTTAAGTCAAAACTACGTCATATTGCTTAAAAAGAATTTTAACACCGTATACATAAAATAGATTTATCTTATAAATGTATATAAAAATTAGATAATGCTATTGTCAGATAGAGAAATATTAATTATGTATAGTATTCTAATTCAACCTTTTATTTTTTTTTAAAAAAAAACACCCGGCACCTGTGGTTAAAAAAATTGTTGAAACTTCACGGGTAAAATTACGAAAAAAAATCCGAATAAAATATATTTTACATTCAAATTGAATCATTCTAATGCCAACCTTTTCTTTTTTAAAGAAAAACATAAAATTTCACGGGTCAAATTACGAGAAAAATTCAAATAAAATATTTTTTTTATATATAGCTCAAAGAAATTAATAATAATCACTTCATTTTTACATCGTCGTTTTAAACCTTATTTTTACTGTTCATTTATTCTTTGTATAATCCTTTTTTCTTTAAATTATATTTCATAATTAGCCGTTAATTGAGTATGGTATTTTTTCAAAAAAACTAATAATTATTTTAATAATGAATGTGTTGCACGGGAGACAACCTAATTACTAAATAAAACCATATTAACAACGCCAAATTGGTTTAATTTCCGAAGAGGGTAAAAATGGAAACATACCCTCGTTTTGGCAACTAGTGTACCTTTGATGAGTCACCTAACTCATCCTAACACTTTTTCTACCCAAAATACATACAAAAAACATATTCTGCACTATGCAACTGACACCACAAATTAATAAAACTTTTTAATAATTTATTTATCTATATCAATATTAGTAAAAAATTGCAATGAAATTATAGAGCTATCATTTCTTTTGACCTTCAACTCCTTGGGAAAAGTCAATATTATAATGCCTACGTGGTGGCAACGTTGTCATTTCAAACATTTCTCAAGCTCCGTTTCCCAGGGTTTTGTAGCTTTGCCTCTTTTCTCTCTCTCCCGCTCAATTGAACCTTGTACAGCCCCACCCCACACAGTAAAAATCCCTCAGCTGGAAGCCCTAACAACCCGAAGAACAAAGATTTACTGAAACCCATCAAGTTTCCATTGCCGGAGAACGAAACCCAGAATTTGTTTCGCGGTGATTTTGGGTCTTCAGTCTCTTTATTTGACCAGTAGTTGGCGAATAAAAAAAAGGGAAGAAGTGACGGCCCTTTTGCATTTCTGGTGAGCTTTGATACTGTTTTTTTTTTTTTTCTGTTTAATATTGTTTGAATTCGATTACTTCTTTTGTTGATTGAGCATGTTTTTTTAATATTGTTCAGCTAAAATGATTGAGCTTGATTAAGCATTGGAATTTGTGCTAAGAATTTGTCCTTTATAGGATTATTTTGATTTTAACAATGCAATTTGCTGAAGGAATTTTACAATTAACGTTCTTTTCCTTCTTTTCTGTTGATTGCATTTGATGTAGTTTGTGAGAATATGGAGAGTCCGGAGTTGGTGGAGGGTGACGGGATTTTGGATAGTTATGTGAGTGTTTCAGCTCCGACAGCTTTTGTACCAATGGCTAATGGTGAAACTGCAAGCGAGAATTTAGGGTTTAGTATGTTGGATGATTTGGACTCATATTGGGAAGATATTAATGACCGCTTGATAGTCTCACGGTTGGTTACTGAGTCTGTCATCAAAGGGATGGTCACTGCTGTGGAACAAGAAGCAGCTGATAGAATTGCAGCTGTGAAACAAGAAGCAGCTGATGGAATTGCAGCCAAGGAATTGGAGTTGACCAATTTGAAGGCGTTCGTTAGATTTCAAAATTTGGATATTGATGAAATCAGGTCAATGAACTATGATGGTTCAATCCAGAGTCTCAAATCTGATTCGGAATTATCTAAAGTGGGTGGTGTTTCTCAGGGAAATGAATCTGAAAACTGGAATGATGTAAATACAACACTGGATGAAAGACAATGGGAGAAAGACATACAAGATAAACTCAAAACAATGGTTTTGCGAAGCTCAATTCAGACATCTGTAGAAGATTTTGAGCAGAGAGTATGGAGTGAAAATGCATGGTATCTTGATAGCCAAAGAGTTCATTTGAAGGAAAAGTTCAGTCGAATTTCTGACATCCGCATTGAGTTGGATGCAATTTTGAAGTCGTTTCCTCATACAGAGACAGGGCAGCTCGCATCACAAGGCTCTAATGACACAGATCATTTCCATCGCAAGAGCTTGAGTAGTTCTATTACTTCGTTATCTCTCTGGAATGAAAATGGAAAGTTGGAGGGTTCTAGAACTGATATACCTGAAACTTACGAAGCTGCCTCATTTAGTCATCTAGACAGGGAAGGACTTGTAGGTCATTTTAATAACATTATAACACAGATGAGAAGAGACCATGAATCAACTGTGCAACAGCTGACTGAGGAATTTTTTAGTTTGAAAAGGGAATATTTAAAAGAAAGGGGATCTTCTTCTGCGCACAAGAAGGACAAGGAATTTGATGCACTGAGAAAAAGGATTTCAGAAGTTGTTCTTAAATTAGATGATTTCCTTACGGAAAACGAAAACCCCCCTTCATCTGGCGTTGATGCTAGAGATCTCAATAGCTTCAAAAATAGACTTGACAGTCTTCTTTCTGAAAACCATCGACTGAGAGATTCAGTTATGGCTAAAAAAGAGGAGGTGAAGTTTCTGACAAACCAACTTGCGATTAGTGCTGAGGAAAAGTTGCAGCATTCCTTGATCGAGGCCAATATGGTGAAAACGATAGAAGGCCTTAACTCAGACTTGGTTGTTGCACATGTTGAAAATGCTCTGGTTCATGATGTTTATAAGTGCACTCTAACAGATGTAATACGGTGTGTAAAATGTGACAAGGAAGAGTCAGACTTGAAAATGTCACTGATGCAGGATATATATGATGTTATATTGAGTGGAACTGCCCTTAATGCTGATATTGATTCCGAATCTGGAGTTGAAGATTCTGATATGGAGCAATTGATTGTGCAAGAAACCTTTGAGATAATATTCAGGGAAGCCTTAAAGGATGCTGAGGAAAACATGAAGCAACTGTATGGGGAATATCTGGTTGAAACTGAAAATAGAAAAGCTGTCGAGATGAATCTTCTTGAAATAGAAAATAAGTTAGCATCAGAAGTTGAAGATAAGGAAAGGCTGAAGCAAGAAATTGCTGAATTTTTAAAGACACTTGAAGAGAAGGAGAAGTCTGTTATTGACTTATCATCTAAATTGACAAACGAGAGGAAACGACTTGAGATAGTCAGTGAAGAGCTCAACAAATCAAGAAAAAAGTCAAGTGAACAGGAAATATTAGTTTGTCAAATAACTGAAGAACTGGAAGAAGTGAAGGGTCAGCTGAAAGAGTCTCTGTTGCAAATTGATGAGGATAGAGTAAACATCAAAAAACTGAATGAAGAGCTCAATCAAACCCTTCAGGATCTAAAGGATGCTAATGAGCAAAGGAAGATGGCTGTTGCTCTTAGCCAAGAAAAGCAAACTAGATTCTTACTATTTGAATCTAAAGAAAATGAACTCAGAAAGCAGATGGAAACAGTGGTGAGTGAGTTTCAAGGGATGTTCAGTGGTTTTGAATCCAAAGTAGCTGGCAAAATCCAAGCAATCAACTCAAGGTATGTAACCAGCAAGGTTTTAGTTTCTTTGTAGTCTGTGTTATGTATTAGTTCGTTTGCCCAATGAAACTAATTGTTTTATGTTCGGATGTGGTTATTTTTGTTTTGTTTTGCTGTTTTCGCCCTTGTTGGAAAGATTTGGTGGGTGGGGAAGTGAGGGCTAGACAAGTTTTAATATTCAATCCTCCATTGCATCTAGTTCCTACAAGTTATGCTTCTCTCGTTTCAATTTTCGGAATTTTTATTCAAGTATTAGCACTTAGCAACAGCTGTCGTTGTTTAGTGAAACATAACCCATGTACAGTTTGCTGCACAATCATATCAAAATCTAAATTCAGTTCTGAGGTGACCCATGGGTTCATTAGATCAATCCAAAAACAACTTCGAAGCGTAACAGCTGAAGGCGTCGCTCAGTTTGTCGCACTCCAGAAGAAATTCTGTTGTGTTTTGAAATCTTGTGCTACTTTAATCTTCAATTTCTTGGTGAAACTTGAGCATGGAGGATGGCACGAACCTAATAATCTTCCCTTTGTGTTGTTTAATTGGTGTTTCAGATTTGAAAATTCAGTATCCCAACTTAGTCCTCTATTCAAAAAAGCTAAGTTACTCAAGAAGTCGGGGCGCATGTACCAGCAGAGGCTAGAGAGAAAAAGTGCTGACCTTCAAATGGCAGAGGCAGAGGTGAAAAATAGATTGTTTGTTTTTGAAATCTGTGATTCTTGTGTGTGGCAAAATTATCTGATACTGTTTCTATGAATATGATGCTAATCGTTAGAAGCTAAATGGGTTTAACCACACATTTGAAAGCTTAACATAAATTGTGGAAAACTTCAACTATATGAATAGTTGGGTGGCCATTTTATTTGGTTGAATGGATTTCCTAATTATTCCTTGTTTTGTGATTGTGGAAGTCTGAAGGGTAATTTCATGGTGTAATTTTTTGCCAAAAATGCATGTTTTGTGCAGAGTGCTCTAGGTGCAATTTTTTTTAGAAAATCATTGGTGTAGCTGATATTTGGTTCATTTGATATCTGAATAGTTCAACATTTTCTTGATTGTGGAAACCAGATAGTCAGGCTAAGAATAGATTATCATGTCAAGATTCCAAAATTATGGCAGTATGTTTGAATCATTTAGAGGATCATTGGAGTGATAAACTTTTGGATCCTTTTCGATAGTACTTGATGTGAAGCTTACCTCTCAGTTGTAGCGTCTCCATCCTTTGAATCCTTTAAATTCTTTTAAATGGATTTCCTACTTGTTCCTGGGTTTCTTATTGTGGAAGTTTTAAGGGTATTTTCATGGTGATACTCTTACCAGGAATGCGTATTTCTTTTGTGCAGAGGGCACTTGTGCATTTTCCTTAGAAAATCATTGTTGTAGCTGATATTTGGTTCGTTTGATATTTAAAAAGTTTCCACATTGTGGATTATGAAAACAAGATAACCAGGTTAAGAATAAATTATCATGTTAAAAATCCAAAATTATGGCAGTATCTTTTAATCATTTTTCAGGATCATTGGAGTGATAAACTTTTGGATCCTCCTTGAAGAACGCAATGTGAAGCTTACTTCTCTTTTTTAGCGTTTCCATTCTTTAAATTTCTTTGTTCTGCTTCGTGACAGGTTGATCTTTTGGGAGATGAAGTTGATAAGCTACTGAGCTTGCTTGAAAAGATTTACATATCGCTTGACCATTACTCTCCGGTTTTACAACATTATCCAGGGGTCAGTCAACTAATTTTTTGCTATCTGCGCTTTGTATTTGCATGTTCAACCCCTTTATGGTTGTGTATAGTTTTCCTTGACTACATATGAGCATCACAGACTTGAAAGGTTGGGCTTGTGGATTACCTGTGTTGATATGTTCCGATATCCTTCTCCCTTTTTGAAAAGTTATGGATGATAACTGTGCAAATTGCTGCGAGAAGAAACCCTTTAGGAGCAAGTTGCTGGAGACAGTCATTTTCAATTGTTTTTTTTTTTTTTAAATGTAATTTTCAGGAAAAAATTTTACGGCTTAGCTTTAATATATTTAATATTAAATTATTTAGGATTCATTTCGAAGAGTATCTTGATCCAGTTACCACTCAAAAGGAAAAACAAAGAAAGAAAGAAATGGAAAACAAATTGATCTCTACCATGTCCTTGCCAGTATACATGGCTCAAACCATATAATTGCCTTTAGACGTGTTGTTTTAAGTTTGTTGTATCATTTTGCAGGTTGTTGAGATTCTAAAGCTTATTAGGAGGGAACTAACTGGAGAATCGATGAAGACAAAACAGTTCTCTCCATGTTAAGGTAATCTGTTCTTTTATAGAACATTCCCCAGACTGATGCCAATAGTTCCTAACTTTGCTTTAGCTAGCTTCACCATCATTGTAGCCAGTTAATGGTTTGTCTTAACTGTCGCTTCAACCCTTTCCCTGTTTCTTTTTCCCCTTTTTTCTCTCTTTGGAATCGACGGCGATGGATTGCTTCAGAACTTTTTGCTGCTGCTGATTGCGAGACCTAGAAAGTAGTTAACCCCATATTGTCCATATCTATTCAGCACTGCTCAATGTGATGTTGATGTATATATATGATAGAGTAGCTCAACTAGAATACTGCAAAGAAAAGGAAAAAAGAAAAAAAAAAAAAAAAACTAGACTGAAGGCTTCAGCAAGCTACAGAAAGCTCATAGGAAAGCGAGGCAAATTCATTTTAGGTCACCGTGACTTCACAATTTTGTAGTCATCCAGTTGTATGTATTTTGTAGAAGCTGTAACAGAGAGGTCATTGATTTGTTCCGCTTTTCTTTGTACGTAAAGGGTTACTGTTTACTTATTTCATTCTTTGGAAATTTTCATGAATTTAAAACGGTTTCAAAACCATTTTGTGTTTCTCCTCTTCTTATTGGTTTTGTTGCTCTTGAACCAATGCAAGAGCTGACAAAGAAGTGACTTTATGTATTGGCCGGTTGGGGAATTGCCTCCTCCGTCCAATAAGGTAATTGCACTCAGGTTCAGTTTGAAACGATTGGCTTGTCTGTAGGAGTGATACTTTCTTCAAAAAAGAAAGGAAAAAAAAAAAAAAAACAAAAAGAACACTGTCTGTTAAAAAGTAAAGATGGAAATGAATAATGATTCTCTGCTGCAAAAATTGTACTCCAGTAAAGGTTGACAAAAAATCCTTTCTTTTTTGGTCGTTTAGTATAATTTTGTGATAAGTTGTATCTTTAAAATAGTAACAAATACTTCATTGGCCTCAAAAAAAAAATAGTTATGTAGGGAGTTTTGTAGTAGAGAAAAGTGTTCTATTATGTCTGTTCATTTATACTTTCCAAAGATCCAACAAATTGGTTTGATGACTACACAGAATTTGTAATTGAGGTTAAAAGATACAAAGCTAAGGAGAAAATGTAATGCACTGAAAATTCAAAATGATTGATTCTCACAGTGAATCATATGGTAGCTATATGCCATTCAGAATTAATACATGACTAAAAAGAAAATTTCGAAAGTTGTGAAACAGCAAAAAGAAAAGAAATTGTCGCGGGAAGACAGAAAGTTGGAACAGAAAAAAACACAAATTTAACTAGACAAGGCAGCATGTATTTCAAGCGGACATGAATAGGCAATGTAAAATACATTCTTTATGTCAACCAAAAAAAAAAAGAAAAAAAGGGAAGGAAAATACATTCTGTATTGTAGTATGTTATATTACGCCATTCAGTCAATAATATGCAACAGCTCCTAAATTAACCTCGTTAACCATAAATGTTCCCAGATGGAGGACGAAATTAATCACTCCGAATGGGGGGTTTACTCTTCTTTTTATATACACACAGTAAAGCAATTTCACAGCTTCACCATACCATCATCTATGGCCGTTTGCCTGCACCTCTTTCTTCAAGGAGTTCCACGCCACCAAAGCTGCTCCAACAGCAGGCTCCACCTTAAGAATAAGCAAGGTGTGAAATTCTTGAAAGATTATAGGAAGAATCATCATTTACTGATTCTAGCGTTTTGAATCACGTGATGGAAGAATATGTTTTCAATGGATACTAAAAGAGAACGAACTCCACATGCCAAAACACACAGGAAAAGAATGGAAATGAAGGAGTGTGAAAAAAATTCAAGTCCTATTCAGCACAACCAAAAAGAGCTTTTGAAAGATCTGGCAATAGTCTAGTAGAGTGACAGAAAATAACAATGAAATGAGTGAAATTATATCCAAATACAACTTTATCATGGCTCTTTAAAGTTAATCATCCTTCCTATATTTGTTTCGATTTTGTTTTTTGCCGCAATGGGAAAACAAAACAAAACCACGTATTAGTATCATTTCATATGTGACAGATTCACGCCACATTTAAACTGAAACATTCAAGTTGGCACAAAACAGAATACAAGTGTATACAGATTTTGTTCAGTTAAACCAATTGTAAAAGACAGCATTCCTCCAGGCTAAAACACCCTTGCACAGGAAAAGCACTAAACAAAAGTTACAAAACGACATTCTTGTAAGGAAAACATATGTGAAAGGATTATGAACTGAGAGAATTAAGTACACTAACCTTAGGCCTAATAGGACAAGCTCCCACGAAAGTCTTAAAAACAGAATTGATAACTTCGCTCCCTATATCCCAATTCCTGTTAGCTTCAAGAACACCCCCAACCATGACAACAGGGAAAGAACCTCTTCCATCTGCAAACCAAGATAACCATTTGTAAGGTTAGTGCCCAAATGCCATCCACATTTCTTCCTGCTGAGGCCAGCAGATTCAAATTTGTAAACTCAAAAAGCTTTTCACATATTGGAAGATTTAACTAAAAGAACACAACAGGATAATCATAATTGTTCATTTCGAATAAGTTACTAATCCACAAGCGCACAAGAAACATATCCAGTGGGAGGAATGGGGGAAGAGAAAGGATGAGAGGTTATTAAAGTCAAATACCTTCCCCAGCCAAGGACAGTCTACGTACAACAGCTTTTACACTTGAGGCCAATTCTTCTACTGCATTCTTTAATATGTCATTTGCAACTTGATCACCAGCTTCAGCACAAGATACTACCACAGGAACAAGGGCAGCAATACGGGCCCAAGATGGATCTGCATAAGTCCACCTGAATTACAATAAGAAAGAAAATGACACCGACTTAAATCAAAATTTTAGCTTGAATTGTGTTAGTTATGTCTGATTTTGTGGAAATTCCGTTTTTCAACCTGAAGCATTCAGTACACTACTATGATAATTGGTGCAATCACTATAATCTTGTAACTGAATGATGTAGTTAAGGATCATCTGGACATTAATCAACAACTTATTGAAAGGGAAAAATCTCTCATTCACACCCAACCTACAAATGTTCTGTATTTAATCATGCTGTCAGCTATTTACAGATGTAATTTTATTCAAACGAATTTCTCCTTTCCAACTGTTTTCTGCTATTTGGCTTCCTAGTATAATACCTTACAATCCTATCAACATAAAACAAAATGAGAATGCGCTATCAGCCCCTGGATATTGTAAGAAAGCAACAATATGATGTACACGTCAAGGTCTTTTGTCTCCTTTAAAAGGAGTAATGTTAATACCCCGTGAATTGATCAGTTATTTATGCAAATTATTATCGGTAATCTTTGAATCATAGAAGGCCAGGGTATCTGCTTAATTAAACTAATAGGGAATAAACAGAAGACCCGACAATCAAGACACAACATTCACCTTTCCTGTATTGGCCAGCTTAACAAGAAAAAAGAAAAAAAAGATGTCCGTGTTTATCCGAGTACATCTTTTCCAAAATATAACATGCACTGTATAATGTAAGGCGATTCAGGTATAAATGAAGAATCATAACTTCATTTAAAATATGGATCATCTTACTAAAATTAAAAGCTTTAAGCGACAAGTATGGAATGTAATAAACTATGAAATCAAATCATAGTTTCTAGTTCCTAGTAATAATAAAGTCTAGTCAGATGATGATCATAATCTAGCTTCTACAGAACTGCCAAGTGTACTAAAACTCAGGAAGAGTAACTTTTCATGCCCAAGTGAAGAGCCCAATTCCAATAAGATGTTTGGAAGAAACTGTAAACCTAGCGTATTTTATCTCAAGTATTAGCGTATTAATTTTACAATCAAATGTTAAAATTAGTTTGCCAAATTTAAAGTGAAATCTAAAATGGGAAACAAAACATTATCAGTTGAAAGGCCAAAATGATATATATATCTCCAGGCAAAGCTTAAGAGATTACCCAAATAGCATGCAAACGAACTGAAATTGGACATAAATGTAAACCTATCCTTATAGTATATATAAATGCTAATCATACAATTAGCAATAAAATGACAAAACTAAATGTATACATGCAGAGATACACAAAGTCCGACACACTACCATACCCTATAATCTCATCTGGTGAAGAAAGGCCAAGGGAATCCAAAATATGAGTTGTAAGTGTTGTCTGCATATCACGACCATCATGGGCCCTCACTACAGCTGTCAACGCTCGAGCAGCAATGCCATAGCCACTGCAAGGAACAGAAACTTTCTAAGATGGCAAAAAGGGCCAGTTAAGAATCAAATTAGTTAGTTGGGGCCAGAATTCAACTTTATAAGCTACAGACTTCATACATCAAGAAAAGAAACAGAGAATAGTTCCTCATATCATTGCATTGTCAGCTACCTTTTGTTTTAATTCTAAACTCCCATTGATTATGGATCTCCAAAAAAAAAAAACAAACTTGGGTAAATGAAGAAAAATCAGCAGTGTCCACATTTCTTCATAAATTATCCAGTGAGCTTAAATATCAGTAGATTTTTTAATCAAATCATCCTCCCATTCCAAACATCATACTCATCACATTTTAAACTACATACATAAGATAAGCTCACACGACTATAAGTCCAGCTGGGTAGCTCCAATAAAATACAATTAACAACAGCAAAAATCTATTGCATGCTACGTGGTGACAGAATAAAGAACACTACTTATTTCTGAAACCTTCAGGCAAAAGCAAGCCATCAACTCCGATACTGGTATAATGGTAAATTTCATGCAATGGAAACATATCAATGTGCAAGGCAAGAGAACAGGAGAGAAAAACTATTTAGCTTGTTCTAAGGTATATCTATCAGAATTCATATTTGAAGTATTTAAGTTCAATACTCTAAAATAACTTCAACCAGATAGTGTAGCTTTAGTTCCGAAATATTGTTAAACTTAAGTATCAAGTCATTTAATCATAAGCAATATATAAACCTCAATGAAAAACTACAAATGTCTGTGCAGAAGCTAAAAATATCCTCACAACAGTCAACTCCAGCTAATATTAGGAGGAATGAACCCAAGCGACCTTCCCACACCTATACACCATCCCTCCTGTAAATACTCTAATGTGGCTAATAGTTGACAATTCAAGGAGAACAAGTCCAACTAATATAGTCAAAACAAAAACAGGAGATAATGCATCTACAGGGTAATTGATGGTAAAGAAAAAAGTCACTCCAACACTTGGTACATATTTAGGGTTGCAACTTCACCATTCATCATAATAGGTATAAAATGAGTCCAAATTCAAATTATTTTTCTTTTGAACTTCAAACTTCTGATTGCTTATAGAAGGATTTCAATTTTTCTCAAACAGATATGTCCAAGGAAAAGTGGCAGTAATATCATGAAAGACATCTGGAAGCCTTGGAGATTCAGGTCAAATTAATCGAACAAAGATGATAGAATTTGTACCCACTTCACATCCCCGGGCATATGTAATTCAAGAAGCAAATTATATTTCATTTCTATAATTTATGGAGCCAAAATATGATACGAGAAGATAGTACGCATTCCTGGGACTTGCAACATCTAACTAATACGAAAGAACTTATCAATAAGAATGGTAGCCTCGTTAAGGTTAATCATCAATAATCAAAATCTATCAAATCATATATCTAAAAGAACACAGTAAAAGATGTACAATCAAGTTAATCACACCGTATCTCTGCAAAGAAATGAAAAACATCCTTAATCATAATCTTATCATACTGTTGGGGCTCCAGCTAATGCTTTCAACATGAACTCTTTGTTCCAAGATATTTTGGGGAGTAAATTACAAATTTGCAGCAAACTTAAGACTCTGATTGACCATAGGAAGTCATCTCTTACAAATGTAAGTGTCTTGTTTACGGAAATTCAGTATGGAGAATATTAGATAGTAAAAAACTTAGTGATTTACCTCCCCCAGTCACCTAATACTGGTCCAGCCCCAGCTGCACGAGCTTCTCTTCCATCCTCAGTAAAGCCGTAAGATATACACCCCGTCCCAGCAATCAGCACACAGCCATGAAGTTTTCCCATGGTCCCACTTGCAAGAGCAGCTACGGCATCATTGTGCACATAAATATTTACATGAGCAGGAAAAATGTTCCTGTAAAAATGATCTTACAATTACCAAATGTTGGTGTTTGTAATGAAGTCCTTTGATCCCTCACTCTTCAGATGTTAAATTTTATTCACATAACAACTATGAACTAAAATGGGAAAGGGAACAAGACAAATCACTAAAGCATAAAATTTGAAGGAGACAAATTTGTCCAAAGAAAACATATTAAGTGATTAGTTTCTTCCTTGGGATCTCTTCATGACACAATTTTATAAAAGAAAGGATTATGTTCTTCCATTTCTCTCAATTTCGTCTGCCTGCTATTGCATCAAAACATTGATATGAATTTACCATATCTTTATGGTGCCTAATATCACTTCAATGCAATGATCTAAAACAACAGATGAAGAAAGTACTAGGTCCGGATTAGATAGCATGCAAGAGTAAAGTTTGAAAAACTCAGTTGAATTTTTAGAGTAGATCACACAGAGCATCCAAGTGGCCAAGCCATGTTTGGTTCATTGAAATACTTAATTGAAAGTTCTTCATTCTACAATGTCAATCACAATCATGACTGACCTTGGAGGTGGTTAACCTTAAAATGCAACTAGAAAGTTGCCGTGAAGAACCTACCATAAAGGTCAACAAAGTGATCAAGGTAAACAGAAACTCTTCTTTTGAGCTTTATGGGGAAAAAAATGTCAATGAAACTTCTGCAGTTCTCAACAGTTATAACATTTAACTCATGTAAAAAGACATGACCTACTAACTTTAAAAAACCTTTAAAAAAAAGAAAAAAAAAAAAAGAGGAGCTACCTGGAGTTCTTATTCCATAAAGTGATTGAAAATAAATAGGAACTGTAAATGGATTAATATACAGCAGTGTCCAGCAAGTACAATATTGTACACCATAATGCCAGAAGCAAGGTGTCATGACTCTTGTGTGTGTGTGTGTGTGTGTGCGGGGGGTAGGGGGGGGGGGAGGGGTTTTTTTTTGGGGGAAGGAGGAGAGGGAAGGAGGTGGGTAACTAGAATCATGACGACCTCCCCAACCCCGAATCATGGGGGAGTGTGTTGTTGGGCAAAGAAGACCTTCAGATGCTCATAAAATTATTTATTCCATTATGTGATTACAAAGTATCCAGGTAGGGGTAACCAGTTGCTAAACTCACTGATCCAAATGCTATGAAAATTATTCAGAAGATTCAGTAGAAATCAACAAAATCAAGAAAGCAATGGTCATGTTTTCTAGTTTACGATGCGATGGTATATTTAGGTATAAAGCGCCACTACAGACTTATACAAATATCATAAAAAATTACTTGAGATAACCTTTTGGTAGAACTCGTTATTCAAAGTATTTGAACTGTTAGGCATAACGAATGCCACCTTAATTGCACCAGGATTTCAGAAACTACAACTTAAATTTCCTTTTATACGCTCGACAACTCAGAGATTGATGACCTCCAAACATGGAACATAAATTGGAAACCTATACAAGTAAATTTCTACAAGGTTGAAATACATTCTCGAGAGAAAAAGAGGATGTATAAACTTGATTTAACATACAATACTTAGTTCAGGAAGTTGGTACACACACAGACATAAGCTAATGGAATGAACTGGCATGAGATATTCTCAAAAACTACTTTTCATCTGATATATACAGCTAGCAAAATGGTATATTGTCAAGTCAGGGATGATACATTAACCATGAGGAACGGCCATACTCACTCAGAATGCATGTAATGGAGGAACAATAATACGAAACACAAGGTGGTGCTTAAGATAGAACACATTATTACCTTATCCAATTGAACACCCTTTCTGCATCTCTTGGATGGTTAACTCCAGATACACCCAAACAAACAGCTCTAACAGCTGATACGTTCACTCCTGATATTGAAAGGGCCTCTTCCATAACTTTTGCCAGTGTATCTCTAGCTGCCTCTTCTGATCAGACATACAGAAAAAAAACATCAAAACTCACGTCTGTTCACAATTATCACAAACATATTCCTGTTTTTCGGTCACAAAACCAGAAAGTTTTCTCTCCATTACCAACAACACATAAACCTTCCAATAGAACCCACAAACTTTCTAGAATTCAAAGGTATAAACCCATAACAATAAACTTATCCCAGAGTAGGAAATGCAGGATCAAAATCAACATCCTTTCTCAACTACCGATATTTTTCTTTTAAAAAAAAATCAAGTCAGTATCACTTTCTAGAACCAGTAAGCTACCTCCAATGCTGTTGTAATTGGAGCAACCAGCAACAGCCCGGCCGAGAACGGGAAGAGGGTCCGGCAGGTGATCGGAGAAACGGAGGAGAGGCAAGCAAACGCAGACGGTGGAGGTGGTTCCGCCATCCACACCCAAGATCACTTCACTGCATTCTGACTCAGCCTCAGAACCCATTAATTCGAGAATGGAACAGAAAATTAAAAACCCTTTTTTCCTCTGATCAAATTCTATTCATGTAAAAATTGTACAGAATTTTGGAATTGTAGACCCTCGGAATGAGAGAAGCAATGGTTGATTTGGGGGTGTGGGGGAAAAATTATGAATGGATATCTTTGCTTCAAATTTTGTTCATTTGAATCATTGTTTTATGGGATTAGGATTATTAATTTCTTTCGTATTTCCTATATTTTCTTTATTGCTGAGATTTGGATTATTTGTTTGTTTAATTGTTTTGATTGATCGACAGTTGACTTATGTGCTGTAATCTTTCACCTCTTTTCTTCGGCAATTCGTTAAGTCTCCCATCAATTATGAAGTAGTACTAATATACACTAATAATATCTATCCAAGAGGTCAAAGAGGTTTTACCTCTTTTAATTTCACTTATAGATACATTCGATTATTGTGAACTGATTAAAGTTACTAGATCGAATGTAACAAAAGTGCATAATATAGCTTATTATAAAATGCAATATAATAGTTTAGGATCTCTACCCTAATCTAATATATTAGTATTTACTCAAAAAAAAAAAGAAAAAAAAAACTATCCTGAGTTAAGATAATTTGAAAATTCTTTTTCTTTTAACTTGAAAAGATAAATTGGTCTAACCAAAAGAATTAGCCAAAAAAGGAAAAAAGGAATTCGTGCCAATTTTAATGCTCGCGGGTTAAGAGAGGTTGTTTAGACGAAAACAAGATTGATACATTTTCAATTATTTATCTATATTATTATTATTATTATTATTATTATTATTATTATTATTATGAGAGGAATGAGAGATAGAAAACAAAAAAAAATTCTAAAGGGTGACAATTTTCTAGAGTTTTTTACCTAAAAAATTTTCTTTAAAAAAAAGTAGACCAAATTAATTTTTTCGAAATTTCTGTGGACAAATCTATATCCTTCGGATTTCCAAAATCGGAATCCGGGGTAAACTCGGATTTCGGAAATCCGAATTTAATAGAAAACGGATTTTGAAAATCCGGATTCATTTTAATTAAAACTAAAACTAAGTAAATTTTTCATCTGTCATAATTAATCATAATTTGGATTTCTGAAATCCGACTTTATGATTAAAATATTAATTTTTGAGGAAAATTTTTTTGTACAAGTGTTGGTAATTTTTTGGACACGAATCGGATTTCCGAAATCCAAATCTTCCTGTGTTTCTCTGATAAACTCGTATTCTAGAAATCCGAACCTAAACCCTAAACCCTAAATCCGAGTATATGTTACACTCGGATTTTGGTAATCCGAGTATATGTTGCACTCGGATTTTGGCAATCCGTTTATAGGTTACACTCGGAGTTTGGTAATCCGAGTATAAGTAACACTCGGATTTGGGAAATTTGAAGTTAAACCCTAAACCCTATGGCCTTATTTTGGAAATCTAATTTTTTGCTTGACTCAGATTCTGAAAATGCGATTATTTGCTTAAAAGTTACATAACAGTAGTACAGATAGATTATACTGAATTAATGATAATATTTAATAACTAACAGATTTAATAATAACAAATAAAAGTAATACCACTAATGTATAATGAGTATTAGTATTAATGTACTACATGATACTAGTACATACAAATAGTACATAACACTAATACAGATGAATTATACTGAATTAATGATAATAATTTCTAATAACTAATAGATTTAACAATAATAAGTAACACTAGTACCACTAATGTATAATGGATAATAATATTAATGTATTACATAATACTAGTACGTACAAATAGTACATAACACTAATACAGATACATTATACTAAATTAATGATAATATCTAATAAAGAATAGATGTAACAGTAATAAGTAACACTAGTGCCAGTAATGTATAATGGATAATGGTATTAATATATTACATAATACTAGTACGTACAAATAGTACATAACATTAATACAAATAAATTATACTAAATTAATGATAATATCTAATAACTAATAGATGGAACGGTAATAGTATTAATGTATTACATAACACTAATACAGATAAATTATACTAAATTAATAGATGGAACGGTAATAGTACATAACACTAATACAGATAAATTATACTAAATTAATGATAATATCTAATAACTAATAGATGTAACAGTAATAAGTAGCACTAGTACCAGTAATGTATAATGGGTAATAGTATTAATGTACTACATAATACTAGTACCTACAATTAGTACATAACACTAATACAGATGAATTATACTGAATTTATGATAATATCCAATAACTAATAGATTTAACAGTAATAAGTAACACTAGTACCAATAATGATGGGTATTAGTATTAATGTACTACATAATACTAGTACGTACAAATAGTACATAACACTAGTACAGATGAATTATACTGAATTTATGATAATATCTAATAACTAATAGATTTAACAGTAATAAGTAACACTAGTACCAATAATGTATAATGTGTCTTAGTATTAATGTACTACATAATACTAGTACGTACAAATAGTACATAACACTTGTACAGATAAATTATACTGTTTTTGTGATAATATATAATGACTAACAGATTTAACAGTATAAATAACAATAGTATCAATAATGTATAATTTGTATTAGTATTAATGTACTGCATAATACTAGTACGTACGAATAGTACATTACACTAGTACAGATAAATTATACTGAATTAATGATAATATATAATGACTAATAGATTTAACAGTAATAAATAACAATAGTACCAATAATGTACAATGAGTAATAATATTAATGTACTACATAATACTAGTACGTACAAATAATACATAACACTAATATATGTAACCGGATTACGGTATTCCGGTTCTTTGATTTCAAAAATTTCGCGCCTTGATTTTATTTTAGTTTTTTTTCTTTTTGAGAATTCGGATTTCGGAAATCCGAGTACTACTGTTTATTTAAGAAGTCCAGGCCCTGGACTCCTCCTTATTTGAGTTCAAATATTTCGCGCATCAATTTATTATTTTTTAATGGGACTCGGATTACGCAAATCCGAACGGCACTGTTCATGTAAGATTTTTTAAAAACTATTATTCAACAAAATTTATTTAATTATTATTTTATTATTAAATGTAGATTCAGATTTCCGAAATCCGAATGTTTAATTTTAATTATAACTCGGATTTCGGAAATCTGTGGGATATATTCCTGTCCACAAATATTCTGAAAAATTTAAATTTGTCCACCTTTATTTTAAATAAATTTTTCAATTTTCTAATGCATTTCAAAAAAAATACTTTCAGTAATTGTTAAATAGTCCTTAAATTTATATAAAACACTCAGCCACAACTTTCGGATAGAGTTGATTTATTTTCTTCTCTTATCATTAAAATTATCAATCAAAATTAAAGAGACACTAACTCTCCCCAAAATCATAGTATAACTGGAATTTCTAGCTATAGTAAATAATATAATCAAATAAAATCAATGACCGAAATATAAAGTCTTTATCAGGGAGATAATCGTGACAATAATCACAATCATTTTTTTCCAAAAGGTCAACTTTTTTGAATTACCTCTCTCTATATGTGTTACCTCTGCTATATATAAATCTCATAAATAGTGATTGCATTCATATTCACATGCTGTAACATGATACGTAATTCTACCCCAAGAATATTTTCAAGTATTGATTACTGGAGTACAGGTAGGTTTAATCTAGAAATTGAATCATGATTTTTTTTTTAATCAAAATGTTCTCTTTGTTACATTGTAGGTTTGAAAATAGGGTGCCCATGACGAAGTAAGGAAAACATGAATTTGTCTTTTATTTTTTATTTTTTGTTTTTGTTTCTTTCTCTCTTCTTCTTCTACTTTTTTTTTTTTAAAAAAAAAAATCGGCATGAAGAACACCATTTCCATCCTGTTTGTTACTATGATTTTTATCTATAGAAGAGAAATACAAATTTATTATTATTCTTTAATTTATAAATTTGCATAGGGTTTTTGTTACAATTAATTCTTTGGGTTTTGATTCCCCTCTAATCTTTTTACGGTTGGTAGATTTTGACTCAAATACGACTTTTTGTATATTGTATTACCTAAATATTGTCATTAAAAAAAATATGTTTTTAATTTTTGATGATTTTGAATCAAGTATTGTATCTAATTAATATTTCAGTGGGCAGATTTTGGGGTTTTCGGAAAGCGTTATCATCTCTGAAAGACTATCACCGTTGCTCCCTGCAGCCATGGTGAGCACCAAAGCGTGGAGTGGATGATTTGGTCCTAATGAGCCTGAATAAGTCAACGTAAGAAGAGAATCCCTTAGCAATTAAGAAAGAATCTTTTGTATGTTCTCCCAACTCCATACTTCAAATGATGGCAAATGCTTCAATGGAACTTCAATCCAGCGAGGTGAAAGTTTCCATTGTATTAGATATATCTAGATAGGTAACATTATCTTTTCAAATTCTATGTACGGCCATGAGAACTTTAAATTACAAAAAATATATTTAGTTACTGTGACCACATGTACAATATTTTAATACTGTCTTTTTTCATAAATACATTCTTTTGAGATAGGTGTTATGAGACGTAGAAGGTTTATACTAGTCTCTAGATGCCATGATAGTCATCAGTGGTTATATGTACTCATTTGTAGTCGGTTAAAACCACAATATGTATGACATAAATTCCATTTACATGGATGGTATTTTGACATGTTAAAATTATAACTTAAACAGAAGAAAAGAAATGCCAATATATATATATATATATATATATATATAAGAATACATTGTGCATCTGGCATCCCATAACTTAATTTTTAAACTATCACATTGGTAAAAATCATATGTGTAATTTTTTAATACATTCTTCAAAAATCACTAATGAAAATTATCACTAAGACTTCAAAGTTTACATTATATGAAAATAATTGTTCACTTGATTATCATTTAAGGGTATTAATTAACAATAGCATTCAAATATATTTTTAAAAAATAAATGTGCCGTATACTCAAGATATGATTGAGGTAAATGATCAACATATGCCGCTGCATAATTTTTAAAGATCAGCCCTAGATCATCATTGGCATATATCACGTATCTAAAGTTTAACCTTATCACATTACATGATCAATTAAATTTAATGAAGATCATTTTCAAATATATGTATACTAGTGATGTCTGGTCGCGCAATGCGCGACCCTGGCCCAGTCTATCTGTAGATCTTAGAAATGTTTATATTTGAAAAAAATAAAATTTTGTATTTGGAGCTATATATTTTAGAAATTTTTGAAGGATTTAGAAATGTTTTATAAGTGTGATCATAGAAAT